AGCAGGGAGCCCGATGTGGGACTCGATCCCGGGACTCCAGGATCATGACCTGAGCCGAAGGCAGTCGCTTAACCAACTGAGCCACCCAGGCGCCCCTGTTTTGTTTTTTTAAATAAGTAGGCTCCATGCTTATCGTGGGGCTTGAACTCACAACCCTGAGATCAAGAGTGGCATGCTCCACCGAGCCAGCCAGGCACCTCGGGGGGATAAGTAAACTTCCTTTTTTTGTTTTAAGATTTTATTTATTTATTTTTTAAAGATTTTATTTATTTATTTGACAAAGAGAGAAATAGCGAGAGCAGGAACACAAGCAGGGGGAATGGGAGAGGGAGAAGCAGGCTTCTTGCCGAGCAGGGAGCCCAATGTGGGACTCGATCCCAGGACCCTGGGATCATGACCTGAGCCGAAGGCAGACGCTTAATGACTGAGCCACCCAGGCGCCCTTAAGATTTTATTTATTTGTCAAAGAGAGAGAGAGAGTACAAGCAGGGGGAGCAGCAGGCAGAGGGAGAAGCAGGCTTCCTGCCAAGCAAGGAGTCCGATGTGGGGCTCCCCAGAACCCTGGGATCATGACCTGAGCCGAAGGCAGACGCTCAGTGACTGCGCCACCCAGGCACCCAGATAAATAAATTTCTTGATGTGTGCATTTCTAGGCTTCTCTTGCATTGTTTGAAGCTGAAAGGCTTGGGGATGACCAGAGTTTCTTGTACTCTAAAACTCTTGTCTGGGCATGTAGGCCTCTTTCCTGTCCATCCCCCTCTCTTTTGTCTCTTCAGCCTTGAATGTACATATAGATATTGTTTAGTTTTGAGGCTTTAGAGTGAACACCAAAAGTTTGTTTTCTCTGAGGTGGATTTTGTTTTTTGTAATAGGTGTATTTTTTTTCCAAGTGTGCAAATGAAATTTTTGTAAACTGAGACATACTTGAAGGTACTGTTAAGGAACTAACCATGAAGTGAATCCTTACGCAATTTGCACTGTAAAATCCTAATTTGAATATGTCTTGATATCTTAATAAGCAGTTTTCCTGTATGTAGAGTATAGTCTGTTCATTATAATTTAATAGGTAGTGGTTTAATAACATAGAATCTGTAGTCGTACTGCCTGGGTTCCATCCAGGCTCTAACACTTACCAGCTCTGTGACCTTGGGCATAGCTCTTGTAAACTGAGGGTAATAGTACTTACTTTAAAGGGTTGTTGAAAAGATGCAGAGAGTTAATACATAAAAAGTGCGTAGAATCTTGCCTGGTACCTCGTAAGTGCTTCTTAAATGTTAGGGGCTATTGTTATTATTGAGCACAGGCTCTATCTAGGGCATTGTGCTAGATAATAGAGACCCTGAGAGGATCTAAAGCCCAGTAGCTGTCTGCAAGAGGCTTGTGATACTGTTGGGAGAAGTGTTTAGAAAAAAATTAAAGGTTAAGTCTATCTGTGGTCACTTGTGCTTGCCATCACCTGATAGAGACAGATGCTATGAAAGAGTTCAGAGGAAGAACAAGGCCATCAGCAAAGCTTCACAGGTGGCCACCGAGCTCTGCCTAGCCACCAAAGAAGAATTCTAGGAAGGGAAATGGCCTGAGGGGAGAGAAGCAGAGGAAGTAGTTGGCAAGATACCTTTGGCCGGTAATGTAGAATTAGAGGTGGTGGGAGCTCTTTCTAGATCATTTTTGGAGTAATCTGGGAGCATAGTTTGATTAAACCATATAAGGAGCTTAGGAAGCCTTAGTCTTCCTGACTGGGGATCATCTCATACACCTTAAATGCTGCCTTGCCAGGTTCTGTGGTGCTGGTGTGAGGAAGAATTTGCTGGAGGAATTGAGTTGGGGAGGGGCAGCCACCTGGGTTCACACATCCTTTCTCTGCTGTATCTTTGCAGTATGACTTCTCCTTGGAAAAGAAAACTATTGAATGGGCTGAAGATATTAAGAAAATCCAAGAAGCCCAGCGGGAAGCAGAGCGCAAGGCTGAGGAAATAGAAGCTAAAGTGAATTCTAAGAGTGGCCCAGAGGGTGACAGCAAAATGAGCTTCTCCAAGACTCACAGTACAGCCACAATGCCACCTCCGATTAATCCCATCCTTGCCAGCTTACAGCACAACAGCATCCTCACCCCGACTCGGGTCAGCAGCATTGCCATGAAGCAGAAAGTTCTCAGCCCACCCCACACAAAGGCAGATTTCAATCCTGCTGACTTTGAGTGTGAAGAAGACCCATTTGATAATCTGGAGTTAAAAACTATTGATGAGAAGGAAGAGCTGAGAAACATTCTGGTAGGAACCACTGGACCCATTATGGCTCAGTTATTAGATAATAACTTGCCCAGAGGCGGCTCTGGGTCTGTGTTACAGGATGAGGAGGTCCTGGCATCCCTGGAGCGGGCGACCTTGGATATCAAGCCTCTTCACAAACCCAATGGCTTTATAACCTTACCCCAGTTGGGCAACTGTGAAAAGATGTCGCTGTCTTCTAAAGTGTCCCTCCCCCCCATTCCTGCAGTAAGCAATATCAAATCCTTGTCCTTCCCCAAACTTGACTCTGATGACAGCAATCAGAAGACAGCCAAGCTGGTGAGCACTTTCCATAGCACATCCTGCCTCCGTAATGGCACCTTCCGGAATTCTCTAAAGCCTTCCACCCAAAGCAGTGCCAGTGAGCTCAATGGGCATCATACTCTTGGGCTTTCAGCTTTGAACTTGGACAGCGGCACAGAGGTGCCAACCCTGACTCCCTCAGATCTGATCTCCCAGATGCCTTCCCTCTCTGTCTTGTCTGTGTGCACAGAAGAATCGTCACCTCCAAATACAGGTCCCACGGTAAGCCTTTTAAATCCCCCTGAATTAGAGCTCTAAAGATTTCTAAATTCTGCCTAGCAGTTGCTGCCTCACCTTCTTCTTTTCAGGGTTTAGGGCAAGATGGGGCATGGCTATATTGACTTTGCTTGTGTATGTTCTGGTTATTTTTCTGAGGTTATTAACAAAGGATTGTTAGCTTTGCCCCTGGCCTGGTTATGTTCGCTTGTTTCTACCTGCATCTTTTTGGTCTTTCCTTCAAAAAGATAATGTATATCATGTGTGAATGTTTTTCTGCCTAATCACTTTGTTCTTTTCTCTGCTGCCTTTTTTTTTTTTTTAAGGCTTGCTTTCTTTGTAACTTTTTACTTAACTTTTTCCTACTTTATTCATTTTTTGAAGGTTGCTTGGTAGTCCTCATTATATCATCTTCCTGCTTTCCTCTCTCCATCTCATTGTGCCCTGAAGGTTGGTTCTTGTGTGTACCACGATTTACCCGTGTTTCTTCAGACCATGTGGTGCCTTAGTAGCTGGGAGATAAATTTGTATCAGAAGTCTGAGCAAAAAGTAGAAATTTGTCACTTTTAAACATACAGATTTTATTTTATTTTATTTTAAGATTTTATTTATTTAGGGCGCCTGGGTGGCTCAGATGGTTAAGCATCTGCCTTCAGCTCAGGTCATGATCCCAGGGTC